TCTGCATTTGAGCAAATGACTCATGCAAAAGACCCCAAATTACATATGTACAAATATATATGTATTGATTGGAGTATTTATCACAGTTATCAAAACGAGTCGAACTGGAAGATACGGAAATCATTCATCAAGCCAGTTCGGATCATTCTATTAACTGCCATCATTTGAACCGACTAGCCGAAAATTGATTCTAACAGTTAACAGCTCCAATCGACCGAACAGGACAACCAGTTTTGAGTTTCTAGATACCTAGTGTAAAAAATTGTAGTAACACGACCGAACAGGGCAACCAGTTTTGATTTTCTGGATACCTGGTGTAAAAAATTAGGACTTTGCTACGGTGACATGCATGTCACGGTGACATGCACTTTTCGGTCGACCTCATATAGGATCAGGTCGACCTAATCTGTTTTTTCAGTGTAAAAACAGTTTCATGGTGCCTACTTTGGAGATTCATATTTTACAATTGGCTTCATGAAAATTAGAGATTAAAGGCTTGTTTTGAAGCTTAAGTGTCCCTCTACACATTAAAGTACTTGGGAGCTCAATAGAAAGTTCAGAAGACCATTTTTGAACCTGACCAAAAGGCTATGCCAAAACTGGGAAACTGCCTGAAAATGGCTAAGTCTGGCAACGTGTTTGTCAAGCCTACTTTGGAGCTCAATTTGAGAAGCATGGATGCGAGTCAAGTCCAGGGGCCTCTACCACGTTAAATGACGTATTTTTTTATACAAAGGCAAGGCATTGGATGAAAGATTGAATATCTTTAAGGCTTCAAACAAAAGGCTCGAAGTTGCTACGAAGGCTGTTTTTCTGGCAACTTGCTTGTGCTCGAAGTCTGCCAGAAAAACAGCATTCGTAGCAACTTCGACCCTTTTGTTTGAAGCCTTACAGATATCTAATCTTTCATCCAATGTCTTGAATTTGTATAAAAACATACCTAATTTGACGTGGTAGAGGCTCCTGGACTCGACTCACAGTCATGCTTCTCGAATTGAGCTCCAAAATAGGCTTCACAAACACGTTTCCAGACTTAGCCATTTCCAGGCAGTTTCCCAGTTTTGGCATAGCCTTTTGATGAGGTTCAAAAATAGTCTTCTGGACTTCCTATCGAGCTTCAAACAAGTCATTAGTCTTCAGTTTCCATCTAGCCAATTGTATGATATGAATATCCAAAGTAAGCACCATGAACTGTTTTTACACTAAAACAACAGATTAGGTCGACCTGATCCTATATGAGGTAGACCGAATCCTAAATGAGGTCGACCAGATCCTATATGAGGTCGACCTAATTCTAAATGAGGTCGACATGAGGTCGACCTAATCCTAACTGAGGTCGACCGGAAAGTGCAAGTCACCGTGACAGGCATGTCACCGTAGGCACACCCAGAAAATTATAGTTACTAAAATTTGAACCCGGACCCTCTTAGTATGATGACAAGGTTTTTTTTCCAATTGTAGTATCTTCCTTTCGTGTTAATATGCAAATACTTTAGAATATTATTGTGAATATGCAAATGTACTTAGCTTAAAATGCTTCCTATTTTAAAAAGTACCAAAACATAATAAAATTTATATTTTTGTAGGAATATATTGATAATAAGACCATTATTTTTATTTGAGAGAATATTAATGTTTGGAATTTGGATTTTTGAAACTTTAGTACTAATTTTTCCTCGATGAATTAGTATTTTATTTTTGTTTACGAGTATGTATTTTATTTTGGGTTTATGGTTTAGTATGTTATTATTTGTAATCTACTCATAATAATATTATTATTTAAGATGTACTGGTTCTCTAACCATGTTTTAACAGTTTAACACCAATTAAACCAACAAAGTGTGAATTACTTTTTTATTTCCGAGTGATAGCAAGAGAGGACAAGAGTTATACCAAAAAAAAATTATCGAGGAACCTCCTACAAACGACACCCTAGTGAAGCCATCCAATAAAGTCGAAAGAGTCTAACTCTAGGAGAGACAATAGTAGTGCTTTGGGCTCCACTCTATGAGCAACATTGTTGGTAGCTCTAGGACCCGCCCTAAACTCTATACAAACTAACAAAGAGTCTAGGATCTTACGACACTCCCGAAACACCGGACCTCAAAAGAAATCTTCTAGGACACCTTGTCGGATCTGGTTGACGACCACCTCGGAATCCTTTATCACGTGAGTCAAGGATCTTGAGGCGATGATGGTGATAACATCTCTTGCTGTTGGGAGCTCTGCCAGGTAGGGGTTGACTATTCCCTGGTGGTGACGCATACCGGCTGCCAGAACCACATGTCCGTCTGACCCACAAATAACAAGACCAGACGAGCACCCTGAATCACAAACAGCTACATCGAAGTTGATCTTCAAATACTTTTCTGGTGGAGGATCCCAAGCGGCAGAAGGAGGACAGGGAGAAGCGATATGGAGGGTGGATAAGAGGGGGGGCGAACAATGCAGCCTAGTTATTCTGCTAATTGCATAAGTTGTTAGTATATACTAACTAATATCCAAAATGTATGAATTAGTATTCAAATCTGCTGATTTTACTAAAGTATCTAGATAGCACATACTAGTATTCAAAACATAACAAACTAGTATCTAGATAGCAGATTCCAACTAATATCCACAATCAACCAACTAGTATTCAATTCTGGATAGTTTTATGTGTTATCTGGATACTAATTATGTGCTGTATGAATACTATTCTGTGTTGTCTAGATATTAGTTTGTGAATTTGGGATAATAATTGATTCATGGTGGATATCAGTTAGCAAACCTTGAATACTAGTCTGTGCACTCCAGATACTTTAGTACTTGGATACTAGTTCATATATTTTGAATATCAGTTAGTATCTGCTAACGAATCTTCAAGTTATCATATTAACTTTTTCGCCAACAATGAAGACTTCAAGAACCTGGTTACTACACATATTTATACTGCAGTTCAACTCTGAGATATTTATATCTAACCACGAAATCGCAACAAAAACGTAAAAAAGAAAAGAAATATTAGGAAAACTACAAACGACGGAACATTGGCTGTGTGTTCTTTCCCCCGACGAAGAGCTGAACTAAAAAATGGGGTTAAAGACACATTTGGTCACTGAGATTACAAAATCGGGACATGTTTAGTCACTAGAAAAATTTAATATCAAATTTGGTCACTACAATTACTAAAACTGGACGCATTTAGTCACTCGCCGTTAGTCTCCGTCCAACTCCGTTAATGAAGTCCGTTAAGTGCTGATGTGGCTAACAGAATTGCCTAATCAGCCGGATATTAACCCAACAAAAATAAAACCCGACCCGCCACGTCATTATAACCCGCCACCTCATTAAAACCAACCCAACCCAACCCATCACCCAACCCTACCCAACCCTTCTTCCTCCTTCCTCCCCAACCCAATTTAGGGTTTTCCCCATTAATCTGCCGGCCGCCCTTCCTTCATCTTCTTGAGGAATGTGGCGGTGCCGGCGGCTCGGAGCTCGGCGGTGAAGATTCAGGAAGCTACTCTTGCTCTCCTTCTTCTTCTTCTTGTTCACCTCCCCCCTCTTCCTCTCTGCCTCTTCCTTAGACAGCCATGACGACGATGAGCAACCACAACTGCCCAAGAAAAAGAGCAGCAGCAGCAGCCTATCATCATCACAAGCAACACCTAGCACCAAGCCTTCCAAATCTACCATTTCCTCTGCTAACAAGAATCAGACCATGAAACTCACCAAGAAGACTACTACCAACTCTGCTGCTATCGAAGATGCTCTGTCTTCTTCTTCTTCGAGTGGTAAGAAGAACCAGACCAAACTTATTACCACCAAATCATCCAACTCTACTAAATCAACATCACCCACCAAGTCCAAGGCCAGCAGCAGTAGCGATTCTCTACTCACCACGAAGAAGAAGCCCACCAATTCCACAGCTGATACTGCTCAGCTCCTCAAGAAGAAAGACAAGAAGCAGCAGCTCAATTCCACTTCCACTCCCACACCCACCAAAATCAAAACCCTAGTTTCAGATCCATCAATCAAGCAATCAACTTCCCCCAAAAACAAAACCACCTCCAAATCACCCACCACAACCAAATCCCAAACCCTAACCCCCAAGCCAGCTCCTCGAACGCGTCGGCCACCTGCGACAAGGCCGTCTGCTGCGATCTGGCGCGATGGGGGAATAGATTTAGGGTTTCCTCCACTGCTGCGATTGAGGAAGCTGACGCTGGCGGGCGACGAAGAAGAAGAAGTGCAACGCGAATCGAAGAGAATCTCAAGGTTTCGTTGTCTGCCGGCGAGGGAAACTGACTGCGATGGCGGAAACGCGCGACTTCGAAGAAGTCGAACAACGCGACTTCAATGCGACGGGGAAGGGGAAGACTCCCAGTTTTCAACGCGACTTCAACGCGTCTTCAACCCGACTTCATCTCTCCCTGCTCTCTGCTCTCTGCTCTCAGGGTTTGATCGAAAATGGCGAAGGGGAAGAGCTCGGGAAGAGCTCGAGGAAGGAGAAGGGTCTGTAATGGAAACAAATCAATTTTGATTTGTTTAAGTGGCCTCTGGTCTGGTTAGGTGGGTTAGGGTTTGTTTTTGGGTCGGGTTGGGTTAATGGATTGGGTTGGGTTTATTACGTGGGGTATAGTGACGTGGCAGGTCGGGTTTGGTCATTTCCGGCCCAAAACGGCGCTGACTAGGCGCTCACGTTAGCCACGTCAGCACATAACGGAGTTTTTTAACGGAGTTGGACGGCAACTAACGGCGAGTGACTAAGCGTGTCCTGTTTTAGTAATTTTAGTGACCAAATTTGATATTAAATTTTTACAGTGACTAAACATGTCCTAATTTAGTAATCTCAATGACCAAATATGTCTTTAACCCCTAAAAAATGTGACCACACCACCATATATTTTAAAAAATCTCAACAGAACAAAAGTACAAAACACTGCGCAACTCTTATTTGGAAGGGTCCCAGTTCACGTTATTCTTTAACTTGAAAGTTCCGCTACTCCCCCGCGAGCCGCGACCCTTCCTTCCTTCCTGCCTGCCTTTTCACTGTTAAAAATATTGCTGAAAATAAAAGTTCCCTTCCCCTTCCGACGATCTGTACAGCTCCCTCTTCCACACGGCAGCGTCTTCTTCTTCTTCCTTCCCAAAAGACTTCCCCTGCAAATTCTCCTCCGCCACCGCAAACTTTCCCAATCCAGAACCAGCTACTACACTTCTCTCATCCATTTTGAAACTCTTACCTCCTGCCGCTTCCAGCGGGCTGAGAGATGCAGTGGTGGTGATTCAGGTTAGCAACTCGACTTGTTCTCTTCGTGGTCTTCCGTTCGGTTGACCACACGGCTTGTTCGTAGGATTCGACGGAGATGGATATAATTCCTTAGGGTTTAAGATTTTCTTTGTTCCTTTCTGCTGTGTCGCTCATCTCTGCCTGCCTGCCTGCCTGCCTGCCTTCCAAGCTACGTATTCTACTTTTCTAACTTCGGCCTGAGTTTGCGTTGCGCGGCTGAAATTCGGTGGAGTGAAAACCTAAGGGTGAAATCTGGTCTCTGTGAGCTGAATTTCGGATATATCTTGTGGCTTGAATTAGCCGGCTCCGTTACTTGCTTAATTCGCTTTTCATCGAGTTTTCAGTACGCAATCAGTGTTCACCTGTCTCGTGGACCGTTGTCGTGCTGCCTCAAATTGCTTGCTTCTCTTCTAGTCTGTGTTCGTATTCTTTCTCCGAGGGGAAATTGATGTTTGTTTTTTTCTTCTTCAATTCCGGCATTTGAGGTGTCAAAATCGTGTTCTGCCTACGATATAATCTGAATTATGGTACTATGTGGATGCATTGGAATTCTAGGGTGGACATAGACTGGTGGTGAGCTTTTTGGCCTGACTGGGAGATGGGGTTCGATTGGAGCTTACCGTTCGGCGGATTGGGGGGTTCGATTGGGGAACCGGATGCAGCACCTGTTCATTCCATTACATTGTTCGTGGCGCTCCTCCTCACTTGCATTCTGATTGGTCATCTTCTCGAGAAGAGCCGGTGGATGAATGAGTCCATCACTGCTCTTGTGATTGTGAGTTACTTGTGGTTTCCTTGTTTTTGTGTTTCGATGCTTGCTGGTTGTAGTGGGTGTTTAATGTTGCGTTTGGGCTTTATCTTTGCAGGGTGTCGTTACTGGAATTCTTATCCTTGTGACAACTGGGGGAAAAAGCTCGCGCATTTTGATTTTCGATGAAGAGATTTTCTTCATTTATCTTCTTCCTCCCATCATATTCAATGCTGGGTTGGTTACTATCAAATCCTTGCTGGTCCTTTTGTGGATTAGTTTCATGATTTCTTCTTTTCAATCAATCGAGCTGGTTCATGAGTTTGATGGAGTGAACCTTTCTGTGCATCAGGTTCCAGGTGAAAAAGAAACAGTTCTTCCGCAACTTTATGACAATCACATTGTTCGGTGCTGTTGGGACGTTGATATCATTTGTCATCATATTCCTTGGTATGCCACTCCAGCATGCTTATTTTGTACTCGGGGTTGTCTTGATAACTTCAATGCAGAAATACACAACAGTCTGCATAACAATACTTTCCGGATGACCCTGATTATTAGTGATTATGTCAAACTTTCTGATGCTTCAAATATTCAATCAGGACTTTAGATGTTTGTTGTTTTTCAAAATGAAGAAAATAAGTTTATACAAGCAAGAAGTGGGTTTTCTGTTAGCTGAGATTTTCATGTAATTGAACCCTCCTTAGTCCTTACTAAATTTGAGACGAGCTGCAATATTTCCTGAGATCAATTGTTTTTGCTGATTCAGGATCAAGGAAGTTATTTAGTATACTGGGCATTGATTTCTTGGACACAATGGACTTTCTAGGTATGTTTTTCATCCATTGGTCTAATATATTACAAATTTGTTGTTCTCTATTGCACCTATATGCTTGTTGGCATGATGCTATGCTTGAGAATATTAGTTTGAGGCATTAGGAACCATTCCCTATTCTCTTAATGATAATCAATTAGCTATAGTGTCTGCAAGGATCCTTTGGCTCTTCGGATAGGATTACTCTATCATACAAGTTTCAAAACTTAAGGATTTCCTTGGTATATATTTGCCATGGACAGAATTAAAATATGAACATTGTGCTATTTGAAGTCTCATGTTTTTGTTTTCTTTAATTGTTTCTGTGGTGGTTCATACATCTGTAGCACTGGGAGCAATTTTTTCAGCAACAGACAGCGTTTGCACCTTACAGGTATGGGGTACTCTGCTTTTCTCTTGATAGAAAAATAACTAGTGGATGAAAACAGGAAAATGATTCATCTTCTATATGACAGGTGCTCAGTCAGGAAGACACACCTTTACTGTACAGTTTAGTGTTCGGGGAAGGGGTGGTCAATGATGCCACATCTGTTGTTCTATTCAATGCGATCCAGCGCTTTGACCTCTCCCACATCACCTCAAGCATAGCTTTACAGTTGCTTGGCAGCTTTTTATATTTGTTTTTCACAAGTACCTTGCTCGGCATTGCTGTGAGTTCTTTCAAGCCTCTTTTGACAATCTGCCTGCCTTTCTAAACTTGTTTTTGATAATTCTCTGTAACTTGTCTTTACTTGGCTTATCTTGCAGATTGGGTTACTGAGTGCTTACATCATAAAGAAGCTTTACTTTGGCAGGTATGTGAGACTTGGTGCCACATTATTCAAGCTTCAACCACCCAAAACCTACCCTGTCTAAATTCTGGATGCTGACTGTTTTCTTCCCGTCAAACCTCCAAGTTTCCGATTCTTATAATTCTCTGATGTCATGAAAAGGAGCATGCATGTTTTTGTTTGCTGATCCTTGAATGTCCACATATATTTAACCGGCATAGATCCAACCACGGGTGTTCTAGGATGGTTGAGCAGATGCTTTTTGTTTTGTTTAAGTAATTAGCTTACTCGTGGTTAAGTTGGTATGCTCACAAGAAATTTCAAGCATTACACACTTTAAACTGGGAAATTAGACTTTTTCTGTTGCACAAGATCTCATTGTACAATAACTTGACATCTCTTTTGTGTAATTTCAGGCATTCTACTGATCGTGAAGTTTCTCTGATGATGCTCATGGCATATCTTTCATATGTTATGGCTGAAGTAATATAGCTTAGAACTATCAACTTCTTTTTATATTTTGTAATCATCTTAAGTTCTCTGCCTGCAAATTTTAGTTAGCTAATTCTCTAATATTGGTATCACCTTATTTTCCTTCCAGTTGTTTGATCTAAGTGGTATCCTCACTGTGTTCTTCTGTGGAATTGTAATGTCACACTATACATGGCATAATGTGACTGAAAGCTCAAGAGTCACTACCAAGTACGTTGGATCATTTTGACACTTTCTCCAGAAACCTAAACTTAATTTTTACTTATATATCATGTTGATCCTTGGCTAGGTTATAGATCTTGTATTACTAATTCTTCTGCTTGTTGCTGCTGCAGGCATGCTTTTGCAGCATTGTCATTCATATCAGAAATTTTTATTTTCCTGTATGTTGGTATGGATGCCTTGGATATCGAGAAGTGGAGGATTGTTGCCAAGAGGTATGACTATTGAGTTCAATAATTTGATCATTTCTATCAAGTAGCCATCCTCCTCCTGTCTTTTGATTTTAAGCAAGTCCACTTAGTTAATTTTTCAAGTTTGTTTGAGAACTTTTTGTGTAACTTAAAAAAAAACTTGTAAGTTAAAACAAACTCACTTCTTGAATCTAACTTTTTAGAACAACTATTCATCCAAAACCACAAATTATTAAAAGCTAAAAGCCACATCACTAATGAAATTTCACTTTGCGCCTTTTAAATGAAAATGTATTCTTAACTAATGGCCATATTAGATGTTTTCCAAAATCCACTCATCTCTTTATAATTAGACAAACTATGTACCATCAGTCATTTGACTTATCATTACTAACATATATCTAACATTCATCAACTCAACTTTTTTTCTAAACCTGACAAAACACTTCCTTTTACTTCTTCCTAAAACGAATAGTGTTTTGGTTCTGATTAACATTCCGTTGGAATTTTGCAGTCCGGCAACATCAGCTGGTGTGAGCTCAGTAATGCTTGGGATGGTTCTTTTAGGGCGAGCAGCTTCTGTCTTCCCTCTTTCCTTTATATCCAATTTGTTTAAGAAGTCTGACAATGATAAAATTCAATTCAAGGAGCAGGTCTGTAATTTGTTTTATTGCAAAAATTATTTATCTTCTTTTTCTTCTGGTCTCCCCTTAATATGTTAACTTCTCTCTACAGATTATCATATGGTGGGCTGGACTCATTAGAGGAGCTGTTTCCATGGCACTTGCTTACAACCAGGTGAAAATTTCTGGACGATGAAGTTACTCGTATAGCTAGTCGAAGTGATTGTCCTAGGCTGATGCCCTCTGTCACTTGACCCATTCATGAATTTGTTGGGACTGTAATTGGCATTAGTTTACACTAGGTTCTAATGATCTCTCATTCGGTCTTTGCGTTCCGGTTATGTTATGTTTGGCTGTCTCCTACGTGCTGATTGGTTTCTTGAGTTTCGTCATTAAGTAAGTTGAGGCTTGCCTGTAATCAAGTTTGTGTGTGATTGTTCATCGTTGCAGTTCACGAGGGCAGGATACACACAGCTACAAGGAAATGCGTTTATGATCACTAGCACCATCACAATTGTTCTGTTTAGTACGGTGGTAAGAACTTGATATGACATGCTTGCGGATCGTATTTTACTGCTCTATTACAAATTTGTTTCAAGTTTTTTAGTCAAGTTATTTGAATCGAATTGTTTTATAGCTGAAACAAACACACCCATTTTTATTGTTATGCCATACTGGAAAAGATAGTGTGATAACTCATAAAGTGTTGTTACCAACTTACCATGCCATACAGCTCCCACTGATTTGTTTAACTTTTCAGGTGTTCGGGTTAGCAACCAAGCCTCTTATTAGGTGGTTGCTACCAGGCCACACCGCAAGGAGTTCAGAGCTAGAAGATGATGCGAAAGCTCTTTCTCTACCTCTTCTTGGGATCAGTCAAGATCCGGGAGCAGAGACGAGTACTGATAACATTCAGCGCCCAGTGAGTCTACGGATGCTTCTGACCAAGCCGACTAATACCGTACATTACTACTGGAGAAAATTCGACGATGGTTTTATGCGCCCTGTGTTTGGAGGGAGAGGTTTCACACCTTTTGTTCCAGGATCGCCGATAGAGAGGAGCCTTCATGGCGGCAAGTAGCGGAACATGACCACAAACTGTACGGTTGTATATTGGGGAAGGTTTTAACCACTTTGTTCTGTACATAGATCATATATGTACGACGACATATTGAACAGAAAACTGCACTGTGTTTTCTGCTAAGAGTGTGCGTGCTGTAATATAGAGGTGGAGAGCAGGGGAACTAGAATTATTGAGCAAAAGTTTTGATTTTAGCGCTAACATTCTGGAAATTGATTAAGGGGTCTTTTGCTTCAAGGATTTTATAACGAGGGTTCTGTCATGGATTTGTTAATTAAAAACCTTGGGATTTATTAGGTATTTTGGGCATTATGGATTTGAGGAAATCCTTTGTTTGTTGAGCTATTTTTATCATGAATTTGATGAGGTGTGCATGGTTTTTCAGCTTGTCTCTAAATCCCAGGGTATGAGGTGGGATTTACAAAGTCGTGGGGCCCATGGATTTGGAGCAAAAAAAAAAACCCCCCAAATTTGTGGGGCCCACAGATTTATCTAAACATTTTTTGACAAAGCAAACAACGGATTGTGTGTAAATTCATTATGGTTGGTTTTTTGGTACCAAATCCATCATTCAAATCCTTGAAGCAAACGATCCCTAAGAGAATACTTTGAAAAGAGGGCATCAATAGTGTTTAAGACTTAAGATATGGATGTGGACTTGTAAAGGACCCTGGGTAGCTAGGTTGAAGTCAACAGGCGTTATAGCGCTTCACTTTTGAAATATAGGTGATAATATATGTAAAATTTGTAATGAATTTAGGTTATAGAATAATTGGTAAGACAATACCCCTTTATAAATTATTATGATTTTTTTTTTACAATAATTATCTCAGTTTAAATCAGTCCCTTATTCACATTTTCGACTCCACTTAGAGTATTATGCATACAATGGCAAGTTGATGGAGTGCCAACATCCTTTTTGCCCTTAAAAACAACTAACTTCTATGGTAGATTCTAACCACTTAGGCATCATAGGGTTTTTAAATACAAGGGGATCTAGGTAACATTCTGGATTTTGAGATTGAACGATTATGTTGAATTATACTATTTTACATTTAGTTATATTTTATAAATTATTAATGTGCTTATTGGATTTCAAAATGGGTTTGTCTACGTAGGACTTATTGGTTAAATGAGGAGTTTACCTTCCTATCCTTAATGGTGATGTGTTGTATAGGGTTGTTTGCGATTTCGGTTAAACCGAAACACAAATGTGGTTAATAGCCACCGATTACAGCCCCAAACCGCCCACAGTCACCGTCACCACGAATCTTGCGGTTAACCGCTTCCGTAACCGCCAAATAACAGTGTGGTTTCTCGGTTGGTCGACAACCAGCGTTGTGTACAGAGCGGAGTTGGGGAGACCCGACAGGCGTGAAGCGACGGCCGAGGGCGGAGGGCGACGTGGCATTGTTGACACAACGGAGTTGGGGTGACGAGCGAACGAGTGACGGAGGGAGTAGGGACTGTTAGAGAGTGGTATAAGATCCAACAATAACCTTCTACCAACAACTCGAGTTATTGGTACCAACTGGTATATGACATGGTATCAGAGCCTAGAACCGAAAGGTCATGTGTTCGAATCTCCACGACCCCCAATATTAACCGTTGTCTTTCAAGCACATGGTATGGTGGGCCTGTGCAAACTTCAAGCCCATGGTTTGGCTTTCGTTTGAGGGGGCGTGTTAGTGGGTGGTATAAGATCCAACAATAACCTTCTCCCAACAACTCGAGCTATTGGGGAGAGACAATTGTCGGTTGCACCGGCGGGTGATAAGACAAGATGGTGGGAGGGAGATCTGAGTGCAGCCCCCGGCGGAATAGGTTTAGGAGTCTTCTCCTCTTTCGCTTGGATAAGTCGAAGTCGAATGGGAGAGGAGGACTGGAGGCCACACCAGCGAATCGTCATAAAGGGCAAGGGAATGATGAAGAAACGATGTCGTTTCTCCCTGGTGGCCAGTTGTTGTGGTTAGTAAGGTAACCTACCACTGAGTCAATTATTCACCGACCACCGAGCGGTTGATCGCCATATCCAATCCTGCTAACCGCCAATCGTCCATTATCATCGATTTTTGGTTAACCGGGTAACCAATTTTATCGGTGCGATTACGCGGTTAACCGCATAAGTGGTTTCTGATTAACAATCCTAGTTGTATATGTATAATTGGTTAAAGAAGGAATTTACACCACTAGCACATGTGACTATAATTCTTCTCTCTTTCAAACCCAATCATAAACCTTTGCATATATAACCATTGCCCTCACTAACGTAAAAAAAAAGAATTAGTAGGAATCATTAATCCAGTGAAATTGATCAAATAGCTAGAGTAATGACTATATGAAGCAATCAACTGTTTTTAATAAAATATTACAACTGGTTTAATAAAAATTACAAACATATAACAATGGATAGATGAAGATTGAAGACAATTACAAATAGATAATATTAAAATTTGATAAGGGCACTTGGGTCTATTCACCTTATGGATTTTTGGCCCCTCCAAAGTCTCACCCTAGGTCTTCAAGTCAAACCGCTCGAGAGCAACTCGACGTTCGAATCGGGAAAAACTCGTTCGACATTCGACTCCTTATTTAACAAGCCGACTCGCGAACCAACTTGTTAGTAAACGAGACAAGTTTGAGCTAGATGAAAGTTTGCATACAAGTGTGGGTCCCATATATCTCCTTCTCTTTCTTATTTTTTCTTTTTGGTAGAGTTTCTCTCCTGTTCAATTTAAATTGAAATATATATAGTTTATTTTATTCTTCCAATTGCATGCATGTCTACATTTTGCAGTTTTTGGGTAAATTTTGTTTTCTTAATCTCTAAATTTGATAGAATGCCATAATTTATAGACTATTAATTAAATGTTTAATTTCAGCAGGAACTGTAAGAAGTTATTTACAGAGGATCATATCACATATTTTTGTGCCTTAAAGACGACCCTGCATATGTCAAGAGTCGAACAACTCCTTCACTTTGATGTAAGATGGACTCAAATGCTAGAAGCAAAGGCTTATCATCTCCTATGTTTGGGGCATCCCGATTCCCGAGTCTTTACAATTTTGTCTCTTCTATAAACTTCTTCGAGTGCGTCATGCTCTAGTTGATTGGTGCACAGGTAGTACCCCAAATTCAGCCAGAGTAATTAAAGATCTTAACCTTGCTTTAGATAGTGCTAAATACTATAATCTAGTTTATTGGAACTTGATACGATCTTTAGAAGAAAGATTGGATATTCGGTACAAGAGAAGGAATTGATCAAGAAGCAAAAATCGCGAGTTAAATGGTTAACAAAACGTCATCAAAATACTGCTTACATTCATTTGGTTACTGCGATTAGGCGCCAAACCAATTTCATCTGGGAATTTGAGGATGCGAGAGGAACCTGATGCACAAATGAGCATGAGAAGTTAGATATTATCGTAAGCTTTTACCAAAATTTGTTACAGTCTCAAGATAAGGGAGGAATTAATTTTTTTTAACCATTTATTCGATGGATTGGTCAATGAGGATCATAACCGAGCTCCAATTGACCAGATTATACCAGAAGGAATTAAATGGGTGGTCTTTAGTATGGGTATCAAGCTCCCATACGACTTTATAGCCGATTTCTTTCAAGCTTATTGGGATATGGTAAGTGAAGACATTACTCAGGTTGTCCTTACCTTCTTTCTATTTGTGTCATCTCTTGAGATCCATTAACAGAACCTGGATATCTCTTGTCCAAAAATATCTTATGTACAATCCATGAAGAATCTTAGACCCATCAGTTTGTGCCAAGTGGTCTATAAGATCATAGCTAAAATCTTGGCTAACAGACTCAACAAAGTCCTACCCACTATCATATCCAATACCCAAAATGGCTTTATTAAACAAATTTTGGATAGTATTTTAGTTAGCCATGATATATCTCATCATCTTAAAACCATGACCTCAAGTCGGAAAACCTGGATGGCGCTGAAATTGGATATGGAGAAAGCCTACCTTTGTGTTGAATTGCCATTCCTCTTTGAGATGGTAAAGGAATTATGTTGTTTATCAGAAGTTCATATATTGGATTAAGGAATGTGTGACAACAGTGTCATACTCATCCCTGGTGAATGGGGTCCCATCCAACTATTTTCGACCTTCAATAGTCCTCCGACAGAGGATCCCCTCTCTCCTCCCCTATTTGCTATATGTACGAGAGGATATGTAAGCTGAGCTCGAACATGGGTTGATTAGGAGGAAGGAAGTGTTTGAATAAAGTATATTTTAGTTGCTAGTTGCATCTATGTCATAGTGGCAAAGTTTCAGACTAGTCCCTTAGTTTAGTTTAGAGATACTCAAGTCTTCAAGTCAAGTTAGATTAGTTAACTACTTCAGAAGCAAGCTGTAGAGTTGCTAGCTATGGTTGTTAGTAATGTTAGCTATGTTTAAGAGGGAATCATGTGGGTCAAGTAGTTAGTTATGGTCGAGATTGTATATTTTTCATATCAATAAATTTTGGCAGTTGCCCTTAACAAAGTTCACAAACCTGCTACAGAAAGCTCGAGAAGGGATCGAGAGAGTGGAGTTGCTCGAGAGCTCTACCTCTAATGGAGGTTTCAATTCTCCGGATCTTCCTTTCGCCATCAAGATGGATATCTCGCTCTATCGCAGGATCGTTTGAGTAAAGAATTTTTATCCAAGAAATTTACGAAAGATTTGATCCAGATTCCTCACTTACAAACATAAAATAATTTTGGATAAGCAATTTGAATCATATGCAACTTTTAAAATTTGGGTAGGATTTCGATCGATAAAATGAAAGTACTATGTTGCCCCCTCTTGTTCTTCAAATGTCAACTTGCTTCTTCCTCTGCAAATTGGTTCTTTGCACATCTTCATGTCTTTTGCTCTCATCGTCTCCAAATCCTCGACCTCGATCAAGAACCCCAACCGACCCCTATACGGATTTCGTGTTTCTACCATCAGAGATGCAATCATTGGGTTAATTCCACACATATTAATTTTTTAAATTTTACCACCAATATGGTGGTTTAAAAACTATTTACACACATATTGTGTTTTGTAGAGGGTTAGGAGCGAGCTCGTCCGAGACTCAGGCGGAGCTGCTGGCAAGACATTCTCGCACGAGTATGAGGCGGGGGCGCCCTTACCCCTTTTTACTTTACCTCCCCTCCACACGTATCTTATCATCTCCTTCCTCTCCCAGGAACCACCACCACTAACCACCACTGCTTCTCCTTCCTCCTCCAAGCAGCGGTCCCGTCCGACTCCAAGCGGCCTCGCCTGGACAAAAGACGGCTTCACCCCAGCCTTACCGAGCTTTGCCTGAGACCCAGGCGTCCCCGCCTCAGTTACAGACGATTTCGCCTTT